GACTCGCGGTTGACGTTGTATCTGTTCTATATACAATGTGTTTGATTCTTAAACGCTGCTTCTTTTTGAATGCATTCATTTATGCTTCGGCACAAGACTCGCGGTTGACGTTGTATCTGTTCTATATACAATGTGTTTGATTCTTAAACGATGCTTCTTTTTGAATGCATTCATTGATGCTTCGGCACAAGACTCGCGGTTAACGTTGTATCTGTTCTATATACAATGTGTTTGATTCTTAAACGCTGCTTCTTTTTGAATGCATTCATTGATGCTTCGGCACAAGACTCGCGGTTGACGTTGTATCTGTTCTATATACAATGTGTTTGATTCTTAAACGCTGCTTCTTTTTGAATGCATTCATTGATGCTTCGGCACAAGACTCGCGGTTGACGTTGCATCTATAAAATGTGGTCAATTCTCAAAAGTTGCTTTTTTCACAGTTAAAGTGCTCGGTTTTTGTTTGGCTGATTGCATTACAAAAATGTTTGTCAAAAATATTGAATATTTATTCGTGGCAGCCTTAAACGTATATTGAAATAAGCTATCGGTATAAATCATATGATTCAGTCTGAGCGTCCGGATGATGTAATTAGATTTGTGTGGAACTTGAACTCTTCAAATTTAAAAACAAACTTTTGAAATTGCATCATTTCGCCATGCATAAGTGATTTGATATTTATACATCCCTCTCCTCTCTCGCTAACCCCTCTTCCCCTCCCTCTAAGCATAACCATGAACTTCAAGCCCTCGATTTGCCTCGACATGAAGAATTTTGAGAGAGACATCTTGTTAGATAATTTCAAGACTTCTCCTTTCTTCGCTCAATACAACCAACTGTCAAAACACGTGTATGTATAAATGTAGTCTGTCTAACTTGTGAAGAATTTGAAAAAGATTTCTTTTACTCCTTACATTATATCAGCATAAGTCGTATCCTTGTGCGTTGCACCTCTATCTTTTTAACCTTACAGTTTTCTGAACAATACTTGCTTTTTCTTGCGCATGTGAAAACCTCGCTGGCATGGTGTGTACATAGCTGCATCAAGTTTGTCGGTTTGTTGAACAACATGATAGCCAACAATATTATTAGAGAAAGAATGTCGAGTCCATAATCCCGCTTAACATTCTCCGATTTCCGAAAGCGTATCCGTCGAGAATCCTATTAACTCTCTCATCAGATCGACTTGCGTTTGAAATGGGCGTGAACCGCGTACCATTGAGCGAAACATTTATCAAAATCACAAAATGAATTACGTCAAGAATTAACATATTTAACCTAAATGAATGTGATGCAACTTAAATGAAATTTTAACAATTGTTGTCCATATTGGTAATTGTACGTACGTCAATTTCTCCTCACACATTAAACTAAGCCTTGTGTCCCACATTTATTGATTGATGTGGAGAGCCTAACAAATCAATTCGTCTTAACATTTAGGTAGTAAATTTCCATAAACAATCAATTTGCTTTTTTCATGCAATAACATTCCATTGATTGTATCAGCCAAAATTAAAACATTGAAGCAGGCGTTTTAAGTAAGAGGGGGTAAAATTAAATCCATGTGAAATAAGCTCAAAAGCTTGAGATAGATTGCGGTTCGTGATTGATGTGTTTCTCAATCCAATATATTTCGTGTATTATAATGATGTACAAACATTTCTCCCCTTAGTGCGTGTATAGAACGTATCACTGTTTGTCGATAGGGGGAAAGCACATCGAATCATTGGGAGTATAAAAACATTTTAGGTACAAACATTTCCCCCCTTAGTGCGTGTATAGAACGTATCACTGTTTGTCGATAGGGGAAAAGCACATCGAATCATTGTGAGTACAAAAACATTTTAGGTACAAACATTTCCCCCCTTAGTGCGTGTATAGAACGTATCACTGTTTGTCGATAGGGGAAAAGCACATCAAATCAATGTGAGTATAAAAACATTTGATTTACAAACATTTCTCCCCTTAGTGCGTGTATAGAACATATCACTGTTTGTCGATAGGGGGAAAGCACATCGAATCATTGGGAGTACAAAAACATTTGATGTACAAACATTTCTCCCCTCCGTGCGTTTATAGAACATATCACTGTTTGTCGATAGGGGGAAAGCACATCAAATGATTGTGAGTACAAAAACATTTGATGTACAAACATTTCTCCCCTTCGTGCGTGTATAAACATATCACTGTTTGTCGATAGGGGGAAAGCACATCGAATCATTGGGAGTACAAAAACATTTGATGTACAAACATTTCTCCCCTTCGTGCGTGCATAGAACATATCACTGTTTGTCGATAGGGGGAAAGCACATCGCATCATTGTGAGTATAAAAACATTTTAGTACAAACATTTCTCCCCTTCGTGCGTGTATAGAACATATCACTGTTTGTCGATAGGGGGAAAGCACATCGAATCAATGTGAGTATAAAAACATTTTAGGTACAAACATTTCTCCCCTTCATGCGTGTATAGAACGTATCACTGTTTGTCGATAGGGGGAAAGCACATCGAATCATTGTGACTTTAAAAACAGCATGCAAGAGAGAGAACAATGGAGAATCGTTTACACATGACAAATAAAACTACACATCTTTCTAAGATGCATCGATCGAAAAATTGTTTGATAGACATACCATGAATCATATAATACATGGTCTTTTCATGTATTTTATGAAGCTTTTTATTGAAGCTTTGTAGAAACTTGCATGGTGTTTATGTATGTAATTGATGACTATCTTCACAAGGGATCTACTTATAACAGTATATTGTGAAGTGTATTATTGAAGCTATGTAAAAGCTTGCATGATCTTTATGTATGTACTTGATTATTACCTTCGCAAGGGATGCTACAAACAACAATGTATTATGAGGTTTATTATTGAAGTTATGTAAAAACTTGCATGGTCTTTATGTATGTACTTGATTATTGCCTTACAAGGGATGCTACTAACAACAATATATTGTGAAGCTTATTATTGAAGCTATGTTCTCTTTTGAAAACTGAATTATTTAAATCACTAGCCTATATTCCATGCCACCGTTGCAGTGATCTCTTCAACGCTACACAATTACGAAATGAATAAGTTCAATTTAGGCAATATTTTAAAGGGAACTAACCAACTCCCATATCTTAATTCAAATTCTGTAAAGAAATAGTATTTTCGTCGATTTCAAATAACATATCTGGGTCTCAGTGTTTGCCTCCCTCACAAACGAGTAAAAAATATATAATCGACGTCAGTATGTCAAAAAATTATGTCATCCTTATCATAATACTGCAAAGCACTACTTAGATTTTTAATGTTTTTATTTTTATATGCAACTGCAAAACTACGTATCATATAGCAAAAGAGAGCTAGTGAGAGCGTAAAGAACTCGAAAATTTACGTTTTAGAAACTATCTAGCTATACCAAGTCAAGGTCGTGTTAATTATCAGTATTAAGGGCTTGATCAACAATGTTTCATAAATCATTTTACCTCGAAAATACGTTCAAAACAGACGATTCATACTCGAGAGAACGCTCTCGAAACGTCCAAGATAAAAGTTTGAGAATAGCTATGTTTTACAATGATATTGACAACTTTTAAAAATCATGAAATCATACCAAAAGTCCCGAAAACATTAGAGAACATCTGTTTCTCGTAAATAGCAAGTGTTTATCATCATGCATTTTCAGAAAGTACCTTAAAAACATCAGATTTCGTAAACGTGTTCTTTAAAATATATAGAAGGGATATAGCTATGTGAGTTGGTCGAACAAAAAGATGATAGTGAACAATTCACTTTGAAATGGCACAACAAAACACATATACCTTGTTTACTTGTGCTGACTTGTAATCAGTAGGTGGTTGCATTTTTTTAGGTTATGAAATATTTTGGCGATGTGCTTGTGTATATGTACTTGCTGCGTGCATTGCCGTTTTCTTCGTCGAAATATAAATTTCAACCCAATGTAGCGTTCAGAATGAATCCACATTAACCTCTGAACAACTAGATGTCTTCGTCGAAGTATAATTTCAATCCAATGTACCGGTCAGAATAAATCAACATTAACCTCTGAACAATTAGATAACCATTGCAAATGAGTTAAGAAATTAGTGATAAATTGTTTTAGCCAAAGCGCTACTGTACATTGTTTGGTAAAGTTCGTTAACTTGTGGAAATACACTTGGTATTAAAACTTATACTCGTTTGCTACATTTTTCTTTCAAATTGATACCAAAGGCTTAAAGGTTTCGTGTTTTCTTCTGTCGAACAACCTGTTGGGTCATGCAAATATTGACAGTGAAAGAATTTCTTTATCGTCGGATTTTGTCTCAAATGTTTTCTAAGTTCATTTGTATACCTTTTGTACCTTATGATGGTGCTTTATTCATAGGCAATAAACATGATTTTATAAGTATGTCATCAATATTGTGCAGTTCCGCAGGTTTTCCACATGAAATATATTGGTAAGATATAATAAAGATCTACTCTTGGACTCTTTGAGTCTTTGTGTGTATTGCTTTAATCGCGCATATCTAATCACATATGTACAGTTGAGTCTTGAAATCGTTGTTGTCTATCGTTGTAGACTATTCGCTGAATTAAAGCCCGCGTTCTGCAAAGGTTTAGAATCGAATACATGAAGCAAGGCGAAAGGTTTTCTTATCATGCACGATGCCTGGGAAACTCGTTTTATTTAGTAAGTACCATTACATGAACATCGTTGAAACAAGATGAAACCGTGCAATGTGCGTAATACATAGTTGGGCGGTGGGGTTTGGTTAAATTACATAGAAAATTCTACATTTATCTGGATATGTATAAAATTTGTTTCAGTTCTTAGCTACCCTTCGCTATGAACCATTTGCCCGTTTACACGGCATAAAAGTAGCAAATTATTATAGCTGAAGCGTCCGTATTTTTTGGTCAACGTTTGTGTAAATTGCTGTGATAGAGTGCCATTTATAAAAACAAAATTGTGTTTGGTATGATTATATCCGTAGTTTCCCTGTATAAGTTACATTTTTATTTGTCTGTTTCTTAATACATTCTTGCAAACTGCCTTGTTTACAAATAATACTGTGACTAGCAGAGTTTAGAAAGCGGTTTTATACAGTAAAATATCATACATCATCATGGACTACGCTAATCTTGAAGGCATTCAGCAACCAAGAACCAACTCCTATCACATGCCGAGGTACAATTCGTTTCGGTACAAAACATCATAATCAAATAACGATCCCTTCTTTAGAAATAAAGAAGCGTGATTCTGACGTGGACTTACCTTAAAGATATAAAGCAATTCATGAGAACGACGGTGAGTAAATTCAGGCACCTTTAAAACAGATTTGATCAAGCTTTTTTCTTTCTCTGTGAATTCGGGAAACGAATAATCGTCGTTTCACCTCGTAGTAAGAAATGTCAACAGTTAGGGAACGCTGGAGTGATAAAAACTCTCAAAAAAATTACAACTTCGAGCAGTGTTTTCAATCAAGGTAACTTATGTCTTGAAGCACTTCTCTGATCGACCTAATTGACTTGAATGGCTGCTTTGTCGCTGTTGGTTGTTTACCACGATTTCGTCTCACTGTTCTTCCAATTGGATTGCTCGTTGTAATCTGTTTATTCTAAACCTTGTGAGGCAAGGTCTGAAATACTGCAATCATCGCTTGGTTTCGTGTTTATTTAGTTGAGAGGAGACAACATTTCGAGCACTCGTTCCTTATAGCCCTTGATATATTAATCACCGAATTTCCTTCTCGTTTTCTTCGATGTATGGCCTGCTGCTTGAACACGTATAGTACAGGGAGGTTGCTTAACTAGATGCTATCAATGCCAAAAGAATACGAGATAGGAGACGTTGTACTGTACTATGTTCTTCAACAAGACACTAACCTGGCTGAGTTACAATGCTTACACGAGTTCATGGAAACGTGATTTTCTCGTTCAATGATGGCAGTCTTAATCACAATTCTCAAAATTTTTCATCCATCGCAGCTGATGGCTACCAAACTCAAAGATACTGCTTTGATCGTGAATGAGCCATAAATAAACCTCGCGAAACATAAAGGACCCGCTCGTACATGATGCCCTCCTCGTAGCCGAAACATGCGCAGTATTTTGCCATGGAAATAGCAATTCGCGAGCAAGTGTCGGAATTACAAATCAAAACTCAGTCACAACATTTCGAACTGTCGGAAGTCGGTCACCGAGAGTTCATTGTATCCGATAAATTGGCCTAAATTTTATGCTTGAAACTTCTCGCAAAGAGCATATATATTGTATAAGTCTTCTCTACAACAAGTCACTTAAAGTACATATCCGGCAGTATATAGTATTTCACCCCGAGCAATAAAATTACACCCTCATTTGTGTATAGAAGTTGTTGGATAGTGCGATGCGTCACAACGATACGATACAATACAGTGCGGAACTCCGTGTACTTTAGAGCAAAACTAAAACATCTCTGCAGATATGTATGTCCGTAGCATTCCGAATGGAACTTTTGAAATACATCGAAAGCATTACGAACATTTTGTCAATACATGCGTAGTTGAAGCGGCGTTCACGAGTGGTTATCGAATACACTTGTACATGTTCTATGATGAAATTTTACGCACATGCACAAAACTTACCTCTTAATGTTTTCATAATAGTTCTCTGTGTATCGACTCAAACTTGACATCATTCGAATGATCGCTTCTCTCTCATTATGCGGCCACTTTGATTTCAGATGTGCTCCGTTCCAGTCCACCATTCTCGCGGCCTTTATGCTTCCCTATTGACAATCAGGAGTACTCTGCACGGCTGTAATGAGGGACTTTGTCATGGCACGATTCAATAACAATGGAAGGTGATGCATCATTTCCCGTGAAAGGTGCGTGTGTAGTTGCGACATATCTTCAGTTAATCTTTTATGACAAATGTAATATACAATTTTGACATCAAGTATCGAGGGAAATAGCTATGTACGTTATACAACATGTATAATGTAAATATATCTGCCTCACCCCACCTCCCCTGTTTCATTGCTGTTTTCCGCATAAGAGAATATTAGGTATACAAGAGGTATCTTAATCACAGAACAAGCTCGAATTGAATATTTTATAATTTGGACATCTGTTTCAAACTACTGATAATGATTCCTTTTAAGTTTGCATATGTTTACAGAAAAATATTTAGATTCTCTCGATACTCGTGGACGGTAAAATAGTTTTCACTCGATTGTACTAAGTATTGCCATATTTATAAGTGGCACTTTTACTCCTCCGAGAACACTTTCTTCCCATAAATGTTTCCTCTAGAAAATCATTCGAGAATTCCTGTTTTACATTATACGTCATGTGTGTCACTGCAATTGTCGTCATTATTTCGTGAAGTTTTCTTAGATATGCCATGGCAGAGTATATCATGCATTTATCAATACGTTCTGAAGATATTGCCAAATCACATATGAAGATATCTTCTGTAATGATGCGAAATTGCGTGGGAGCAGTTGCTATGTGTTGATAATCAGTATTTGCCATGTAGTTACGAGTGTACTCAGTGGATACTACTAGATGTTTCTGAGAAGTATACACGTAGGAAATTTTTCGAAAAACTTCATAGATACGCTAATGCAAAATTGATTCGCTCATGAGTAAATTCATCAAGGGACTGAGCCATAGAAACTCAAAAGTAAAGTGCGAATATAGCGAGTGTTACGAAACAGGGCATGTTCAAGTTTCTTTTAAAATGCGTTTCTTGAACGCGTATGACCGAGTTTTCTTTTGTTTTTGTTTATTTGCATTGTTGGATCCGTAAACAATGAATATCGTTAAAATTGAGCGCTTTTCGTTTTTTTTTAATCAAATTATTGTGAACCGACACGCACGCTTTATAAAAGATTAACACCGACATGTCAAACGCATTATGAAAAGTGTTCGCTGAACCAACTGGCAAAAATAGCTCGTAGATGTTAGAACTTCTTTGCTCAAGAAATTGTTGTTTAAAATCTTTAGTGTGCTACAAGTTTTGCAAATGAATAATTTGCACCTTGTCTGTTCATGCGCACTTGTTTTTAGGGTACTTCAATTTTTTTATTTAACACCTGCTGAATGTAACTTTGTGCATACCGTAAGCACGAATATATACTATTCAAATCGATGAAGCGGTCTTTATGCAGTGCTAATGTGCGCTCATTGCTCAACGAAGCTTAGTAGGCCAAGGTTACAATGCTCACGACTCTCGACATTTTGACCACCTCAAAGTAGAATGTTCTGAGATGTTTTATTTTCAATGATGCTTATATTTGTTTGGTTTGGAGAAGCCTCTTTTGATACTTTTAATCGATATGGAAAAGCACGAAAGTGATCTAGTTCCCGGTATTTTTTTAAACTATGTCACTTTTTATGTCGTGAGAGCTGTACATATCGACTTAAGGGTGCACTTACAATGTATAATATAAGTGACGTACATGCAAATATGCGTTCAAGGGCATGAAAAGAAATGTACAGATTTGAAACCGTTCAGCATATCGCCCAATCATGCGATCTATAAGATATATATTTTAATGAACCGTAATTTATAACTAACATCAAGGTTTGTCATTATTACCATTTCTGACATGACTGCTCTAAATAACCGTGAAACGAGATCTTGCATGGAGGAAGAACGGAAACGAAGGAATTCTTGTTAGTTAGATGGGCTTTTTATGAATGAAGTAAGTGTAAAAAATCCCACGTTTACAACATGGCGACAATGGCAATATGGTACTATCAAATTTTCTGCTTTCTTTTTCATGTAATGACTGTGTTAATTGTAGACGTTTTTGGTGTGAGTAGGCGGATCAATATTCCACATGTCAAATTTTTAATTTGTAAGTGGCGCAGTCAGTTGTGGATCGAGAGTTTGTCAAATAAATCATTATAGCTGCTCATTCTCAAATTTAAAATACCTCTATGGCAATGCTATGCAGTGAATTTCCATGGGATTGTCGAGGTGTTTTGAAATCCAAATATATCTAAGAGTATATTAGTACAAAGAGTATTATAAAGTATAAGTATAGTTATTCTAAATACATAGCAAATATTACTGTTACATAATTGTCTTTTGTCTTTCTCAAATATCCACTTCAAAATGGACTTTTTGTCTGCTGTGTATTCTGATCGAATTTCGTTTTGATCTTCTCTTCTTCAATTTATGCAGAATATGTTTTTTTTTCTATATAATAATTATTTATAAAATAGTTTATGATATATATTTTAAATAAACCATGAATGTATTGATATAATGTACATACCTATACATATATTCTTTAATTTGTAGTTTTTGAGTGTTAAAACAGTTCATATATTTATCAAAAGATAAATGGTGGAAGGTATAACAAGTCTATTTTCACTTAAGTCCAGTTCCCATGTAGTTGTAATTATTATAATTTCATCGGCGATGCATTCCAATTGTTCTACAACACTCCACGTTCACATTTAGTTGTAATTGTTGTAATTTCATCCGCGATACATTCCAATTGTTCTACAACACTCCACGTTCACATTTAGTTGTAATTGTTGTAATTTCATCGGCGATACATTCCAACTGTTCTACAACACTCCGCGTTCACATGTTGTTGTAATTGTTGTAAACCGTCATCGCCGAAAGAATTACCACACTCACAACTATATGTGAACTACACAGACTCTACAGCTGTATTATATTAAGCACATACTGTTATACATAATATGACAAAATATTCCTTCATTTCTCAGCCTATAATAACGCTGATGCGTATAAAAAAACAACAACGAAACCGTTGAAATATGGTTATATTACTCAATTCAAGTCTTTGTCGTGAATTTATCACAAAAACTAAATCTTACTCAGATCATTTATTATTTGTATTAATCACCTAAGGTGAAAGAATGCTCAACTCTGTCAATATTTTCTGTGATAGCGTTCAATGAGGAGATTTGGTTTGTTGTCCCTTGCTTCTGAAGTGATACTCGGATGATTGTACAGGCCTTGAAATATCAATTTTATCGAATAAAACGAGCAGTGTGAACTCTTTGGTGTTCATCAAGACGAATAAAACGAGCAGTGTGAACTCTTTGGTGTTCATCAAGACCAACCTGTGTTTTTTTGCCATATGTCTCTAATTCTATATAAGCTCTCAAGGTTGTTCGATTTTGTTATATGTACACCGATTTCATTTGAAACAAAAAATTATATCTTTAAACCGACAGGCTTGATAACACATTAGTAAAGATTTATTTTGGTGGGTGCAGAGCTTCCCCTCCTTCCCCTCCCCCTTCCTACTAAAATGTCACTTACATTTTACACTTACTATTTGATATTACTAATAATTTTAAATTGTAGTAACATGTTCGGAGTCTATAGTGTGTAAAATATCGCAGGGATCTTTCTCCTCCATTTGCCTCATCTGCTATTGCAGGCCTTTACGGTTAAAATCAATTTGCGTGACTTCGCTCTCGCGCAATTAGGAACTCGTGCAAAGTTCTTTTGAAGCGTCGAACCTTTCATGTGCCGAAAGCATTAATAGAAACAAAAGATAATGAGAACACCGTTGACTGATTATATTGTTTTCTCTTAATGCCTACAAGCTCGTGAGAAGTTTGACTTTCAGACGGAGTATTCCATGCCGCCAATTTTACCTAATATGACAAAATGTCCCCTGAAGACATCAGAACTGAAAAAGGGAGCGTCGTAAAAAGTTTCCCCCAACATTGACACGTTCAATGTATTGCCGATATTCAATTTTTCAAAGAAATGCAAAAACACCAACGATAAAGATATAGTGTGGTCCCAGAAAATAAGATATTTTATGCAACCATGGCTCGCCTCCACTTTAGTGTCCGTCACTGTTTGTTACTTGCCTGAAAGGCAGCGATCCTATTGCCATTCCATACAAGATTATACCTCTGGAAAAAGAAAACAACAATCACCCAACACCCAAACAAACATGTGCATCAAGTAATGAAGTGAAGCTGAAAACTAAGTTCCCGTTTACACTACACCGGATTACTATCGTAGCAGGTTAAATTTTCTTTGCATTTAAAGGTAGTAATATCGCTCATTGTCAGAAGTGTAAACAAATAGATTAAATCTATTAACTAATAAGCTTTTACTCCAAACAGTTACTCCTTTAAAGCAATAGAAGATGTCGTGATGAGCGAATTCGGAGCGAATTTAGTGTAATACACCATGAAAATCATTCACCATGGTAACAGCTACAGGCTGGAGCTCCGTCAAGCAGAGATACGATTGAAGAAAAGTGATTTTACAATGGTGGCCACGACTCGTTGGAATACGATGGCGTCAATAGTTTCATTCAATTTATTTCATGTTTCCTGCTTTATTTGTTAATTACCGCCAGTGTTTGTTTGGCCTGATTGAGCTATGTCAGCAGTAGCGGGGCGGTCATAATTGGGAAAATTACAGAGAATGTATACACGATTCTCTTGGAGCAATCTCTGGTACGAGAACTGTATTAGAAGTTGCCATAGATATCTCGGTCGTATAATTCATAAAATTGCCATTTTTAGCAATCCTGTCTCACTCAAACAGCATTCAGCAAATTATTATGAACATATAAGACTTTTTATAAAGTTTGTCGCATTGTCCTGGCTGCTTACACCAATGGTGATATTTTGCTGCTCCATAACCCTGTTATTTTACGTATTGTAAAGTTATTTTCGAGGTCAGCCCAAGAAAGAGTACAAAAAATTACACATTACATTTTGAGACAAATTAAAAGAAAAGGGTACAACCTTTCCAATGTCTGTCTCGATTTCATCCTTGACGAAAGATGAAATAAGTCTTTGGAAATATATTGTTTCTATAGCGAGTCAACACAGAAAAATTTGCATAGCAAGTGCAAATTTGCTTGCTGGCTACGCCATTGAATGGCACACGAAGCACGAAGAAATCATTCGACCTAAACTTCAGTGGTAATTATGAGTAAAACGATGGTAGTGAGGGTGGTTAAGGATTAAATGTATAAAGTAAATGGTTTGAACCCTGGAGTATCGTTATATGTTTGTAAATGATGATCGTCCTTTTGACTCTGAAGATGACTACCGCTAAGGTTGTCGAAACGTCAATCAACAACAACAAAAACAGTCGTTCTCAGGACTTGATTAAATGTATACTCGAAAGCCTAGGGAGGTTGAGTAAAAGTTTTAGTAGCTACTTCACCTACTTTAGGGGATGCTCTGTTGTAGTTTTTCTGATTTCAAGCTCAAAATTCGGGATTGTTTGTAATGCTACCAGTATAGATGATGTGCAAGGTCGTATTTCTTGTAATACAACCTTAGAATTTTTTTGAATTTTAATTTGGCAAATACGTTATTCGTTGAACTTACTTGAACAATGGACATGGAGGCAACCATGGTATTACATTGGACATATACATGATATACAGGATGTATACTTAGGTACAATTTAGAGCTACAATTTATATAGAGCTACAATATATGAGCTACCATATATATATATATATATATACATATATAATTTTGACTTTAAATATACCAGTATTTAGTGATTTATTGTGGTGGGTTATTGTGTATACTGAACAACAATATTCAATGATTTTGACTTCCGTTGTACAATTATATAGTGAAAGTGAGCTCGTACCAGTCTTTTAAATAGGAGCTAGAGGGTTTTTGTACTAAGGTGTGTGTCGCCTATTTCATGCAACATGTTCAGCACGGTTGGTGTTCTTACTTAGTTAAGGAAAAAAGAGCCAAAAACTTCTTGTCGTGCTTTCTTAATCGATCATATCTTATCTAGCATCAAACGTGGGTATCATTCTAAAATCTAGAATTCTCCACGTTGACTGTTAGTCTGTTACTGGCAAACCGCATGCGCATCGATCGACAAAAGCGAAAGTCGAAAAAAGACTTTCCTTCTACCATTTCTGTACTCAACTAACTTTGACTAATAAAAAATGTACGCAGAAATCATCTCTTTGACATAAATTTTTTCCATTGTGAAGTCAGAAAACTGTCACATGTCATTCATTACTTGAACACGTGAAACTGAATATTCGAATTTGACGACGCGTGGGGGTTGTACAAGAATGGTAGATAAGCATCTAGGGAATAATGTATAATATGTATGTCACCATGTTATGTGATGTAGCATGTTCTCTTTAACTGAGACATAACGTTGTAGCTCCATGCTACTATAGTCCATGTCTTCCAGCAATGTTTTCACATCGTAGTTATTCTGCTAAAATTGAAGTATTTATGCCCACTAGGCGATATAGAAAATACTGATGGATTTGTTTATGACCAACGTGGGCGTCCCCACACACTGCTGTCAAATTTTGCAGGTTTTTTCCATTCCGCATTTTCACGACACGTTGTCCAAATGTCAAGGTCGTATTATTTGTTGTTATGATTGTTATTATTATCATTTCTATGACCACTTATATTATTGTCGCGGTTTCCTTGTGAAATCCACATCCGTGTGTAAAGCTGTTGGCATTTGATAGTTTTAAAATAGTTTTAGCTAGGAGAGAATCCAATTGACGGAAAAAGTAATTATCGCGACAAGAGAAGCATTTCCTTTTGGTGTTCGTGGTGAAAATACGAAAGCTCGATTATTAATATTTGGTCACAACAACTCACTCATTTGAAAGTGATACGACATTTTGAGTATTTAATTTCCTTTGAAAACATTTTGTTTCCCTCCTGCACATACACCACACGTACAAGTGTGTTACGTAATGCGGGAGTGTTATGGTGAACGTAATACACATGTGTACTCGAAACATGCAAACTCTTTGTTTCCCTCCTGCACATACACCACACTTACAAGTGTATTACGTAATGCGGGAGTGTTAAGGTGAACGTAATACACATGTGTACTCGAAACATGCAAACTCAAGACTTAAGTCAGTTATTGATATAACACATTCTTTTCATGTAATTTCACTTCGTAGCCTTCGCGAAACCAATTATAGTTATTTACAAGCGTCCTTAGTCTTTTGAAGGTGGGAGATGACGTCCGAATTCAAATGTGTTATCTGTTTAAATTGGTTTAAATGTCATCGTTTTCAGCCCCCTGCATTACTCGTCAGATAGGTGGATAAACTTCTTAACGAGCAATATAGCGGTAAATCATAAATGCACGGTGAAATTGCTAAGCAGCTTTACAGTCAATGACTAATGCTACTCTATTATTGAAAACCCTTTCAACAACTTCTTAAAACTTGTCCGTTCGTGGCTAGACTTAAAATGTATCGCGTCACACTTAGTGTTTGAGTGTTTACGTTAAGTTACGGAAGTTTGTTTACATCATGGTAAATTCGGAGCTTTTTTCGGTTTTTCATCTTTTTGTGCAAGCTTAGAAAATTTATCACTAAAGAAATCTCTAGCGTTACAAGTTTTCTGTCATAGGAGTTTACGGCTATGAAATCGTACTTCGTCAAAGCTATAGAGGTGTAGTTGAATTTTAGGAATTTTAATTAATTCCTAAAAATATCTGCTTTGGTAACCAGAAAAAAAACGCCTAAATTACCACAGATATCTTACGACGTAGGTATATATAGATTAAGAAAAAGATAAAATTGTTCAAATAAAATATAATTTAAGAGTATAGATTGGTAAAAATGATTTACTAAACTTTTCAGTTTTGCAATAATTTTTAAAGTTTCATTTATTTCTCGTGTCATAGGACAATGAAGGTTTCTCGGGTAGAATAATAATATATATACTTTGGTTATGATTTTATATTAATGCATCTATTCTATAATGAATTAAATTGTATTTTTATACACAATAACATTCTAACTAAAAAGTTGCATGTCAGCGAGATGTCCGTATCTTTCTTTGTCATCGTGTTATTCGGTATGTTCATCTCAAAATCTTTTATACCTTTGATAATGCTAAAATACGAAACAAACATTAACGTTTTAGTGAAAATTGCTTCTCCATTCCAAGTCTTTATTTGCATTGAGTTTTAATGTGTAGATCTCATTAACTGTTGCAAAGGTGTCAATTAATTGCACATCGCGGAAAGTTCTTAGATTTTTTCATGAAAGATGCGATTAATATTGAAAATAAGTCTTAAATGAACTTATTACGTCGATTTGGATTAGATTTTCATACTTGACCATAAAAACATGTCTGCTTTTAACTGGATTAAAGTTTATCGACGCAGGCTCGAAATTACACTTACCTGTAACTGGATAAAGTCACGTGGTTTCCGGCCAGAGTTCGTCTTG